TGTAGTCTGTCCATGGAACAGTGTATCAGTGTAGTCTGTCCATGGAACAGTGTATCAGTGATGTAGTCTGTCCATGGAACAGTGTATCAGTGTAGTCTGTCCATGGAACAGTGTATCAGTGTAGTCTGTCCATGGAACAGTGTATCAGTGGTGTAGTCTGTCCATGGAACAGTGTATCAGTGTAGTCTGTCCATGGAACAGTGTATCAGTGTAGTCTGTCCATGGAACAGTGTATCAGTGATGTAGTCTGTCCATGGAACAGTGTATCAGTGGTGTAGTCTGTCCATGGAACAGTGTATCAGTGATGTAGTCTGTCCATGGAACAGTGTATCAGTGGTATAGTCTGTCCATGGAACAGTGTATCAGTGTAGTCAGGCCATGGAACAGTGTATCAGTGATGTAGTATGTCCATGGAACAGTGTATCAGTGATGTAGTCTGTCCATGGAACAGTGTATCAGTGATGTAGTCTGTCCATGGAACAGTGTATCAGTGTAGTCTGTCCATGGAACAGTGTATCAGTGATGTAGTCTGTCCATGGAACAGTGTATCAGTGCTGACCTTGAATGGAACAGTGTATCAGTGTAGTCTGTCCATGGAACAGTGTATCAGTGGTGTAGTCTGTCCATGGAACAGTGTATAAGTGCTGACCTTGAATGGAACAGTGTATCAGCTCTCCTGATTCTGGGACACCATGGCTATAGTGAAACAGTGTTCATGACAGCACAGCGTAGGGAGGTCACCTGTTTCAATTAGAGACGTCGACACACCTCTGTTGTCATGTTCTCATCATTCTGACATTTACCAAACACTTCATCAACATATCTCGATTCTTTTCAGTGGAGAATCATTTAATCGCTTGTTGTTGCCATGACAACCAAACATTTACGGATTGTTTATTGTGCATGGTATTTGTTCATGCATTTCACCTGTGATTGTGATGACTTCATGGTTGACAGGTAAATACTCTCTGCTCCAATGATGGCGAAACTCAATCAATCTAATGAGATAACCAGCAACAAAATGTTTTGACTTCTGACAATGCTGTTGTCAGGCAGAGTGTGTGGTTGGACAGTTATAGATTTCATGTCGATATCCTTGCATTATATGGTTCATATTTCAAACAATATCCCCATGTTGAGATACAATGTCTTCATAAGTGGTGGGAGTAATTGAAGCTGTGATCGTTGATCCGTAAGCAACATGTGTGACATTAATTGAGAGTTCTGGAATGCAGAAAAATCAGATTATCATTAAACAGATCTCAGTATTTTGCATTTCCAAGTTTGTGTACAAACTGTTTTACATGCTGTCGAACCAATATCTGAGTCCTGAACATTATGTGATATTATCTCTGTACGGCTTATTAATGTTCCAAGTATCTGAACTACGCTCAAATTAAAATGTATGCGAAAACAAAAAGTTCAGAAAAGAAATGTTTCATGAAATCAATGTATTTCAGAAATTCTATGTTTACATTCTTTTTACAATATAGAATATAAAGGTTAGCGGTCAGCTTCAGAAACCTTGAACATGTTAAACCCAGTTCAACTCATCTCACCTTCAACATGTTAAACCCAGTTCAACTCATCTCACCTTCAACATGTTAAACCCAGTTCAACTCATCTCACCTTCGACATGTTAAACCCAGTTCAACTCATCTCACCTTCAACATGTTAAACCCAGTTCAACTCATCTCACCTTCAACATGTTAAACCCAGTTCAACTCATCTCACCTTCAACATGTTAAACCCCGTTCAACTCATCTCACCTTCAACATGTTAAACCCAGTTCAACTCAGCACACCTGGAACATGATGTTCAACCCCAGTTCACCTCATCTCACCTTAAATATAGTGTTAAAGCCCAGTTCACCTCAGTTCACCTTGAACACGTTAAACCTAATTCACCTCATCTTACCTTGAACATAATATAATGTTAAACCCCAGTTCACCTCATCTCACCTTCAACGTGATGTTAAACCCCAGTTCACCTCATCTCACCTTCAACATGATGTTAAACCCCAGTTCACCTCATCTCACCTTCAACATGATGTTAAACCCCAGTTCACCTCATCTCACCTTCAACATGTTAAACCCCAGTTCACCTCATCTCACCTTCAACATGATGTTAAACCCCAGTTCACCTCATCTCACCTTCAACATGATGTTAAACTTAAGTTCACCTCATCTCACCTTCAACATGATGTTAAACTTAAGTTCACCTCATCTCACCTACAACATAATGTTAAACCCAAGTTCACCTCATCTCACCTTCAACATGATGTTAAACTTAAGTTCACCTCATTTCACCTTAAACATAATGTTAAAGCCCAGTTCACCTCATCTCACCTTGTATGTGGTTGCTTGGTAAATTTCTGTATTTGGAAACAGGGCCACTCAACCTTTGGCAGCAAAGTTGATTTATCTCTTTATTGTTATGATTATCATAATCGTATACTGTGAGATATACAAATTTATGAGGCAACCAGCCATGTTGAGCAAGTTTATGGGGCAGTCAGTGATATAGGGTGTATACCTACAGACAACACATAGAGGTATGACCATTTATTTCAGCATTATATACATGAATTATTCCGCTGACAATAGCCCCAAGGAACATTGGTCTTCAATAAGTCAGTCCACCAATCAAGAAGTAGGGGCCACCTCAAGACCATTTCAGTTAACAAATTACAAATTGCATTGAATCCTAATGTAACAGACATATATTTCTTATAAGGTCACAATTCTTTTATTTGTGCATCCAAAACAAATGGACACTAGATGATCAATTTATGAGGTCATCTTTTTAAATTTCTGAATTTTCTGTTGAGATGACCCCTGAATGTTTAGTATGTTGGTTGTGTGAAGTGATATAACAATAATAGCCACCACACATGACTGATTGCCTAATCTGTCATTGAAGACTGGACACGCTCCATTGGAGCTTGACAATAGGTGTTGACCCGATAGGAACCCTATACACAGTCCCACACCTACCATGCTACCTTGTAACAAGCAGGCTGACAGACTTACATACCAAGGTAAACCACATACTTTACTTCTTAATGGTTTGCAAGATATTTGTATGGATTAAACTTCTTTATAATTTCCCTCACGACCATTCGAGACCATTCCAGGTCCCTTCATCAGGTGAACTCTGTTCTTAATGGTTGCTGAATTTCAGTCGTAATGGTCAGGACATGATTGTCAGTGATTACTTTTCAATACTGTGTTATGTTGGGGACGACGTTGTGCAAATATGATCATGGAAATGAAAAAGGGAACACATGAAAGTACAAGTGTTCCTTTATTTATTTCCAGAATTTTACTCACAGTGCAATACATACCTTGTGAAGAAACCTGGGAAAGAATAAAGGAACACTTGTACTTTCATGTGTTCCCTTATTTGTTTCCATGAGTATACCATCACTGGTGTTGACATGGCAATGTGTAACATCTAATTCTAATGCTGTGAATCTGGTTCATTGTTCAAGTGTGTTTTCAAACAGATGAAAGACATTTAGGTTTATTGCATGAATATTAAATGGGGTCATAAACTGGATTGAGAGTTTATTTTTAGCTTACTTGATTCATGGCTTGTCATAGAGGTGCTGATAGTCCCAATCCTGGTGAACTGCTCTAAACTGTCCATACTGTCTCCTATGACACGAGAACTGTCCTGAACTGCATGTTGTCACCTACACCATATGTACAGTGCCAAACTGTCCATACTGTCTCCTATGACACGAGAACTGTCCTGAACAGCATGTTGTCACCTACACCATATGTACAGTGCCAAACTGTCCATACTGTGTCCTATAACACGAGAACTGTCCTGAACTGCATGTTGTCACCTACACCATATGTACAGTGCCAAACTGTCCATACTGTCTCCCATGACACGAGAACTGTCCTGAACTGCATGTTGTGACCTACACCATATGTACAGTGCCAAACTGTCCATACTGTCTCCTATGACACGAGAACTGTCCTGAACTGCATGTTGTCACCTACACCATATGTACAGTGCCAAACTGTCCATACTGTCTCCCATGACACGAGAACTGTCCTGAACTGCATGTTGTCACCTACACCATATGTACAGTGCCGAACTGTCCATACTGTCTCCCATGACACGAGAACTGTCCTGAACTGCATGTTGTCACCTACACCATATGTACAGTGCCAAACTGTCCATACTGTCTCCCATGACACGAGAACTGTCCTGAACTGCATGTTGTCACCTACACCATATGTACAGTGCCAAACTGTCCTTACTGTCTCCCATGACACGAGAACTGTCCTGAACTGCATGTTGTCACCTACACCATATGTACAGTGCCAAACTGTCCATACTGTCTCCCATGACACGGGAACTGTCCTGAACTGCATGTTGTCACCTACACCATATGTACAGTGCCAAACTGTCCATACTGTCTCCCATGACACAAGAACTGTCCTTAACTATTGATTATCACCAACACAATATGTACTGCCCCACACTGTCTATGCTATGTCCTATGACATGTGACCTGTCCAGAACTCTGTGTATCTTACACCATGTACATACTATCCTAAATATTGACTTGTACATTTGGCACTGATACTTACATTATCAGAACTCTGTTAGCACCATGTGTTTATATTTGAATGCTGTATGCCACCTTCCCCGAACACTTGACTGCAGAATTTCTGCCAATACATGTAATCTTCTGAACAAATAATGCATTACATATGCCAGCCGATTGGTCTGGACACCCATACCTCAAGTTCCCAGGGCTATGGGTAGGTTAATGGTTAAAGTGTTGGTTTGTCATGTGGTTTGATTCCCTTCATGGTACAATGTTTGGATGATATTTCTGGTACCCAGATATCACTGGAATATTGCTAGCAGCGAAGTAAAATCCAACTCACTCACTCACTCACTCACTCACTCACTCACTCACTCACTCACTCACTCACTCACTCACTCACTCACTCACTGTTTCTTCTATCTTGCAGTGTATTCAGGTGCTGCTGGACGATGGATGTAACTGTAACATCACAGACAACAAGGGACTGACTGCTGCGGAGCTAGCTGAGAAGTGCAACCAGCCTTACTGTGCTCGTCTCATACGGGGAGAAGTCAAGCTACAGGTAAATAGATGCTTCCACTCTCATCCCCGATAACCTATGGTACTGTGTCGCTATTCTGTGATGCTAGCCGCTGTACACCTATCAGACATCATGCCTTGTCATCCCCAATAACCCAGGGTACTGTGTCTCCATTCTGTGATGCTAGCCGCTGTAAATCTATCAGACATCATGCCATGTCATCCCCGATAACCCAGGGTACTGTGTCTCCATTCTGTGATGATAGGCACTGTAAATCTATCAGACATCATGCCATATCATCCCCGATAACCTATGGTACTGTGTCTCCATTCTGTGATGATAGCCGCTGTAAATCTATCAGACATCATGCCATGTCATCCCCGATAACCTATGGTACTGTGTCTCCATTCTGTGATGATAGCCACTGTAAATCTATCAGACATCATGCCATGTCATCCCCGATAACCCAGGGTACTGTGTCTCCATTCTGTGATGCTAGCCGCTGTAAATCTATCAGACATCATGCCTTGTCATCCCTGATAACCTATGGTACTGTGCCGCTATTCTGTGATGCTAGCCGCTGTACACCTATCAGACATCATGCCTTGTCATCCCCGATAACCCAGGGTACTGTGTCTCCATTCTGTGATGCTAGCAGCTGTACACCTATCAGACATCTTGCCTTGTCATCCCCGATAACCTATGGTACTGTGTCTCTATTCTGTGATGCTAGCCGCTGTAAATCTATCAGACATCATGCCTTGTCATCCCCGATAACTGTGTCTCCATTATGGTACTGTGTCTCCATTCTGTGATGAAAGCTGCCATTCTGTGCTACACCTATCAGACATCATGCCTTGTCATCCCCGATAACCTATGGTACTGTGTCGCTATTCTGTGATGCTAGCCGCTGTACACCTATCAGACATCGTGCCTTGTCATCCCCGATAACCTATGGTACTGTGTCGCTATTCTGTGATGCTAGCCACTGTACACCTATCAGACATCATGCCTTGTCATCCCCGATAACCTATGGTACTGTGTCTCCATTCTGTGATGATAGCCACTGTACACCTATCAGACATCAAGCCTTGTCATCCCCAATAACCTATGGTACTGTGTCGCTATTCTGTGATGCTAGCCACTGTACACCTATCAGACATCATGCCTTGTCATCCCCGATAACCGATGGTACTGTGTCTCCATTCTGTGATGCTAGCCGCTGTAAATCTATCAGACATCATGCCTTGTCATCCCCGATAACCGATGGTACTGTGTCTCCATTCTGTGATGAAAGCTGCTGTACACCTATCAGACATCATGCCTTGTCATCCCCGATAACCTATGGTACTGTGTCGCTATTCTGTGATGCTAGCCGCTGTACACCTATCAGACATCATGCCTTGTCATCCCCGATAACCTATGGTACTGTGTCTCCATTCTGTGATGCTAGCCGCTGTACACCTATCAGACATCATGCCTTGTCATCCCCGATAACCTATGGTACTGTGTCCATTTCATTCTGTGATGCTAGCCAATAACCTATGGACACCTATGTGAGACATCATGCCTTGTCATCCCCGATAACCGATGGTACTGTGTCTCCATTCTGTGATGCTAGCCGCTGTAAATCTATCAGACATCATGCCTTGTCATCCCCGATAACCGATGGTACTGTGTCTCCATTCTGTGATGCTAGCCGCTGTAAATCTATCAGACATCATGCCTTGTCATCCCTGATAACCCAGGGTACTGTGTCGCTATTCTGTGATGATAGCTGCTGTACACCTATCAGACATCATGCCTTGTTCTGAGTCTGGTTTGAATGACATGAGACTAAAATCAATCAGTTCAAAGTACAGCCTTCTTTCATGAACAAAACAAGTTGCTCTCCAGTACCCAGTTGTTATCTGTTTCATAAACCACAGGAATCTTATAACTTGAAGTGTATCACTAGCCTTGTCTTATTATTAAAGAAAGTAAATTTTCCAGTTTGTTTATAACAGCTCTTGGACAATTACATGGATATTGATATGATTTTAAATATTGATCTTTGCCAAACTTGTGTTCAGAGGAGGCATTTTGATTGGTTGTTGATTCCAAAGTGATGAGGAAGAGAGAGCAGGCAATGTGGAGATATGGAGGTGGATGTGTCCAGAGCATTTATCATGATAGAAGGAAGATGGTGGATCGCTGGATTATCAAGGATGATGCTCTAATGTTAAATGGCTGTTGAAGCCCAGTTTCTTCAATTGATGGTCATGTCATCCCAGTGACATATATTGATGCTATGATGTAAATCACTGGATTGTGTGGTCTCCATTTGTGTTGTATTCAAAGACCATCCTCATATGGTGTAATAATGTTGAACGTTAAGTTATACAAGAAACAAAACAATTTTTAAAAATACTTTTGTAGCTGTTTGCACTCAACAAATATTTTCCTTTTCACTTCAGAATAAAGAAAAGTTAGTAACGGATTAGTCTGCCTTTGTGCCCGCTGTACTTGCCATCCTAATCAGCTTATGTCACATTGTATTGACAGAGTTAAAACTTCAACCATGGATACAACACTAGGCAGCCATCTCTAAATACTGTCACGTTTACCAGACAACAAATGTTTTTAAATACAGTGACACAGTCCTGAACTGAATTCCCTGATAAAAGCCTAAGGATTACAACAACGCAGGATATATTTACATATCCACCTCCAACTATGTTCCATAGAGCTCTTTATCCACCAGCTGTCTATATTTAGTTGTGTCACCTCTAGCGGGCACACTGTTATGATGAAGCTTCGTGATGTAAGGGTTATGTTCCACCGGGCTGAAGATATCCACCAACTGGACTATATATAGTTGTACCACCTGAAGTGGGCAGACTGTTATCGTATGCTTGTGTGAGGGTCAGTGATGTAACAGCTGCATGATCTGGAGGTGCTCTCATCAGCACACTTCCTGCAGATAAGCGTTGAAGTACAAACTGTTCCATGTAAATTAGTGACATAGGCCTCAGTGAAGGTGAGTAGTTGGTGTGTTGTCCTTGATTAATGTCATGACTTCAGCTGTGGGTGGGTTCTTGTCAAGTTTTTAATTTTTGAAGATCATGTGAGTGGGAGAAGTTTGACATGATGTGTTGATCTGGGACAAGAAAACACCGGGTTAACATCACGGAACGCCAGTTTTAGGTTCATCAGGGAATGCTGGTTTTATCTTCATCAGGGAATACTCATTTTATCTTTATCTGGGAATAATGGTTTTGTCTTCATAAGGAAATACTAGTTTTATCTTCATCTAGGAATAATGGTTTTATCATTATCAGGGAATACTAGTTTTATCTTCATTAGGGAATACTAGTTTATTTTCATTAGGGAATACTAGTTTATTTTCATTAGGGAATACTAGTTTTATCTTCAAAAGTCGTATGTATCAACAGGTTACTTCAGTTTTATCATCAACAGGGAATATTTGATTTGTGATCAACAGCTAGCACAAGTTCTGTTATCAACAGGGAACACTAGTTTTATGATCAGAACAGAACACTAGTTTGATTATGGAGTCAGGTTGTGTGAAGCAGCTTGGAAAACCAGTTTTACTATGCATCTTAGATGACATTGCATGTTTACCATGAAACACTGTTTTACTGTACATCATAAGACATTACTGTGTAAAGAATACTGGAATACTTCATCACTGTATTACATGGAACATTTGGATTTATTTGGAGACCTGATAGACAAGAACACTTAATTTATCAAACACAATTGAACACAGCAAGTATTATCACCTCAGAAACTTGCTATGACTCTCAGAAGCCTCTAGAAAAACCTGCTGGTCAAAATTGTGTGTCAAGAATCCAAAGATCTGTGTATGTCCATCGTGTATTTTCACCTGGCACACGTGTCAGAGGAGGATGGCTAATTGTGTCTTCTTTCTACTGACATGAGGATTGCTGATGCTGGCTAAATAGGACTAAGGCTGTAGTGTCCCCAAGTGATGTCATCAGTTGTCATGTATCATTATAGAACAAACTTTATGGATAACAACTTCTTTTTATTCGTGAGTGCGACGTTTCGATACAGATTAATTATGTTGTTTTCTTTGTTACATTGTTACATCCAGTATATATACACTTCCCCCTTCTTCATGTTCCATTATGCTCGACAACGGTACAAGAATCTGTATCGAAACGTCGCACTCACGAATAAAAAGAAGTTGTTATCCATATCTATATTGTACTTCCCAACTTCTAAACTGCCACTCAAAGAAGTTGTCATGTATCGTTTTACATTTTGCAATTGTATCATGTTTTTTTGTTATGAGAGTTATGATAAATGATTATTTTTCATGCACAAAGATGGGAAGTTAGAACTTTTTAATCTCTGTGAAATCAGAAATGTTGATCTTTTCATGGACAATTATGAAATATGAAATATTAATGTTCAAAATGTAACCAAATTTACGCAATAGTGCCGCAGAAGTGACATTGGTATCATGATACGTATCGATTCATGAAACTTGTGTATCGTGACATCCCTAGTGGTCAGACGTAGTGCCTTGTTTGCTTGGATGTCACTCCAGTTGACATTAAGGGGCGGTGGGGTAGCCTAATGGTTAAAGCGTTGGCTCGTCACGCCGAAGACCCGGGTTCGAAACCCCACATGGGCACAATGTGTGAAGCCCATTTCTGGTGTCCCCCGCCGTGATGTTGCTGGAATATTGCTAGAAGCGGCGTAAAAACCAAACTCAGTCAGGCAGTCAGTCCAGTTGACATTGCAGTCCAGATTCAATACAGGACCCCACCTTCATATATCCTGAAGTCGGTGAGGTAGCTTAGTGGTTAAAGCATTCACTTGTCACGCTGAAGACTCGAGTTTGATTCCCCACATGAGTACAGTGTGTGAAGCCCATTTCTGGTGTCCCCCGCCGTGATATTGCTGGAATACTATGGGCTACTACAGAGTAACTTGCCCCTGTCTGTTGCAGCCCCCGTCTGCCCAGCCACCTCTTGTCATCCCCAGCACCAGTCGTGGGACTCCAGAAAGACGCCCTCAGCCCAGCGGTTTCCAAGGACACCAACTGAACAGACCTGCATCAGGTAATAATCTTGCCTTCCAAATTAATGCTGGTATCATTCAAGGTGATACTTACCTACTTACTGTCATATAACTTAAATAGCAGTGTTAATATATATTCATGAAGCAAAAAGCAAAAATATTTGTAAACAAATGTGAAAAATCTGTAACTTTGGATTTTAAAGGTATGATGTGTATAATATTATATTGTACTTTGATCCAAATTTGATGAGAAAATAGTGTACCGTGTAACAATGTTTATTATGGTGGTGCCATGCAGGATTAAAAAATCATGGTTACAGTTATGCCCATGTGTGTAGATCCCATTTTGACAAGATCCTTTCTTTTCCTCCCTAATTTATGTGTACTTGTTATTTTTGGTTTTGTTGTTTTTGCACTAGATCCTGTGCTCAGTAAGAGTATTTTTGCATGAGAATACAACCTATTGTACTTCATAATTATATTTACTATGTTCCTTTGCACAGTTTATGTTAATTAGCGACCAAATTGTCCAGCAAACTATTTCCAAGGTCTTGAAAATCAAGGAAATTTTAGTTGTTGAAAAAGACTCCAGTATGTCTGTTTTCAACTCAGGAAACTAAGTAATGTAACCGGCATGTAGGTCTCCCTACAGGATGGATGCTGTAATTTTGTTATCATTACTGTACATGTATTGTCTTGCATGGAGGTGTGAGTGTTAAGATATGGGAGTTACGATAACCTAAGCACTGATATCACTTTCTGCAGCAGTGCCCAGATGGTTAAGCTAAGTGAGTACTTTTTGGAATTGGATAATGATAATGCTGTGTTTCAACCTGTCTTTTCCCTCAATAATGTAATAGGAATAAGTTTAGGTGTAAGTCTATGTTACGGTATGGGGGTTACGATAACCTGAGTGCTAAGATCACTTTCTGCAACAGTGAGCAGATGGTTAAACTAAGTATGTACTCCACTGAGATGCTTCACCCTGTCTAACGACCATGTTCTGCTTGGGTCTGACTTTTCAAACTATAAGACAAGGTTGATAGGGAATGAAAATAATGCTGGAATTATAATCATTACTGTACATACTATGTCTTGTATGGAGGTGGTAAGTCTATGTTAAGGTATGGGAGTAGGATAACCTTAGCAGTAAGATCAGTTTCTGAAGCAGTGAGCAGACGGTCAGCTAAGTAAGTAATTACTCCACTGGAATTGGATAATGATCCTGATCTGCTTTGATCTGACTTTTCCCTCAATAACTTTGATAAGTTTGGTCTTGGATGTGTAGCTGTATGTGTTGTGTATTACAGTCGCCTCGTCTTGCTCCGACTACGGTTATTACACGAGTCGAGAAGCTGCCCGCGGAGGCAAACAGATCACTGGTGGGTGGTTGAAACGTGTGCCGTTTGCCTGGAAACTATTTCTGAAATTTCTAGCCTTGCTTTAGCAAATACTTTTCCTCTAAAATCTGTAGACACAGGGCTTAAGAAGCACTGGCTGTTTGTCTCCTTATTACACAGTTGACTACAGGTTATATGAAGAAGCTCCCCTGTATACACCAAGGTGTTAGTTTTATCCACGGATTACAGCATTCCTTTAACTTCTTAAAATAAAACACTTTAAAACACTTAAATTCAAGAAAAGGTATTTCTGTGAGGTTTTCTTGTTGAAGCCATGCAAGATCAAATGCTTGTTAATATATGATGTCAAAAGGCAAGAGTCAGATAAAGACATAACATCAAAATTGATTCCAGTGCCAAAATATGGACATTAATGTTTTGTCAAAAGTACCGACAGAAATGTTAAAATGTTGTATTTCAGTCAAGCACTAGCTACTATGAATATATAGGTTTACCGAGCCAGATGAAGGTTTGTTTGTCTTAAAAACAAGACATAAAGTGTATGGACTTAAAATCACTGGATAGAAATGAAAATAATGCTGGAATTATAATCATTACTGTACATACTATGTCTTGTATGGAGGTGGTAAGTCTATGTTAAGGTATGGGAGTAGGATAACCTTAGCAGTAAGATCAGTTTCTGAAGCAGTGAGCAGACGGTCAGCTAAGTAAGTAATTACTCCACTGGAATTGGATAATGATCCTGATCTGCTTTGATCTGACTTTTCCCTCAATAACTTTGATAAGTTTGGTCTTGGATGTGTAGCTGTATGTGTTGTGTATTACAGTCGCCTCGTCTTGCTCCGACTACGGTTATTACACGAGTCGAGAAGCTGCCCGCGGAGGCAAACAGATCACTGGTGGGTGGTTGAAACGTGTGCCGTTTGCCTGGAAACTATTTCTGAAATTTCTAGCCTTGCTTTAGCAAATACTTTTCCTCTAAAATCTGTAGACACAGGGCTTAAGAAGCACTGGCTGTTTGTCTCCTTATTACACAGTTGACTACAGGTTATATGAAGAAGCTCCCTGTATACACCAAGGTGTTAGTTTTATCCACGGATTACAGCATTCCTTTAACTTCTTAAAATAAAAACACTTTAAAACACTTAAATCCAATCATTGTTGCCAGTATTTTCAAGAAAAGGTATTTCTGTGAGGTTTTCTTGTTGAAGCCATGCAAGATCAAATGCTTGTTAATATATGATGTCAAAAGGCAAGAGTCAGATAAAGACATAACATCAAAATTGATTCCAGTGCCAAAATATGGACATTAATGTTTTGTCAAAAGTACCGACAGAAATGTTAAAATGTTGTATTTCAGTCAAGCACTAGCTACTATGAATATATAGGTTTACCGAGCCAGATGAAGGTTTGTTTGTCTTAAAAACAAGACATAAAGTGTATGGACTTAAAATCACTGGATAGAAATGAAATGTCTCTTATTTTGTAATATTTTCATAAAAAACAATACCTACACCCTGCTCCAATAAGTGCCCCTTGGCAAACGTCGAGACCATTCTATAATTAATCTTCATAAATATCTCCTGACCAACTTCCTGATTGGTCTGTACATAGTCTTTACAAACACCCTCTGCTAAGAGCAAATATTCACATGATAGGATATATTTTCCTGTGCACATTATGAAGGTTATTTGACAAAAACAACAGCAGGGAAGGGGCAGATATTTGCCAAGAAACTTTTGTGAGAAATGTTTAGTTTCAAGGTTATTCACATCCAAAAAATTGTCACTTGGGTAAATGCCAAGGTCATTTTTTTAGGTGTATACGGTATACATGTGTACATTATCAGTCGGGTGTCTTCTGATGTCAGAGCAAGAACAGTTCTCGAGTTGTTCCCTCCACTTTGCACCTTGCTTGTTTTGCACCATTTCTTTTTCATCTACACATTTCTTCCACATCAGCTTGTATTGATCCAATATGCACTGCTGTCGATTGTAGATAATCCTATTAGTGCAGATTACTGTCCAGCATATAGGCTTCCATCGGGGCTATTCTAGGAGGGGCTGTGGTCATTTGCCAAAGTATATAAGAAATACTTATTCTGATTATATTTTGGGTGGTTCTCCATGAAAGCAGATGTAATTTAGTCTACCAGCAGGAGCACTGTTCAAAGGTTAGTGGAATATCTGTTCTAGTTTCGGTTTGTGATCTATAAGTGGCATCATAATTTGCTTGATAACAATGTTAGCATCTGCACCGAAACGTTGCATCTATTGCAGTAAAGAAGTTGACTATCCATAAAGAGTGTTTCTCATTATGTGAACATGTTTAAATGCTCCTATGATGTTAGATTTGCATTGTGACACCCCTGACTTCTCAGTTCTGACTATAAATTGATGAGGGTAGTTATAAAACTATTAACCAACAGTCTTTGATTTGACTACAAATCCAGTCAAGCTGGTCTGACTACTTGCTCAGAGGACTATAGGTTTGTACTCGTCCTTTGATTAGGTTTAAAACACCAAGGCAGGTGGGGAAAGGTCATGTTTATCTGACCGGTCAATATCCAGGTAGTTTTATCTTGTCTATGGCTGAGTGGGCTGCAGCTGGGTGTTACGCTGCTTCAACAGTGTTTCAGTTATGTCATGGTGTATCAGCTTGATGTGGAGGAAAACCCCACATGATGGCAATTTTAGACATTTTCCACTTGGTAAAACATGGTTATGGGTCAGACACACCTTCAACATTGTATGGGGAGTATGATCTCTTTCTCTCTCGAGTAGGCCTCGTCATGGTGAATCTTATCAAAAGATATGTATGGCATGGCATAATGTATCAAAATAGAAATATACTGAGAGAAATAAATAAAGGATCACAGAAAATTCAAGCGTACCTGTAATAGTTTCCCGTTTTCATCACCAGCTTTGAATAGCGCTGTGGTGATGAAAACTGGGAAATAATCAAGGAACGCTTGAATTTTTCAATGATCCTTTATTTCTTTCTCTCAGTATATTTGATACAAATATTATCACCTTATCTAGGTGACGAGGAGCAAGATATGGGCATGGGTGTGTGATCTATATATATACTGGCAATATCAGCGCTAGCTGATGTACATAGGTGCGTGATAATGTCCATATATACAGGGGTGTGTGATAGCCTTAATTTGGTCCAGAGTTTGACAGTCAGCTATCACCTTAAGGAATCACAGTCACATCCCAAAAGTGGAATGTTAGTGTTTGAGTATAGTTTGGATAGCTTTTAGCAAAATTCCTGCAATATCACGATGAAAACATTAGAGATACTACAGAAGCAAAGATCCCAGTCTTGTACTCAGTTTTGTACATTGTACTGGCAATACCAGTAGTGCCCCTCGTCTAGTGTATCGCCTCCCTATAGGTTCTTATATTTCTCTGCTTCTTTGCTTTATACCCCAGTTACCTCCCTTTGTTTGCCTTCCCTTGTTTTGTTGTGTTTTGTGGTGGAAAGTTATAAAGGCAGATATTGATCCTGTTGGAATACTTCTGTTTTATTTTACAGCGCATTGACATTTTTGCGGATTTATTCATTTCTAAATTTAATAAGTGTAAATCACCTTAGTTAACCTTGTTTATGTATATTTATCTTATTATAATTGAAACACATGAAATTGTTCCTTGTAACGTATGTTGTATTTGGGATTACACTTTCTCAGTAAAGTACAGATTCTAGTACTTTTGGGGGGTTGAGTCCCATCTGGGAAATTGTTCCTTCCTATGAACTGGTGTCTGTTTGTTGTTGCAGTTTTTGCAGAGGTCCATAATAACAAGAATCCAGACTACCGTCGACGTTTATCTAAGGAAACCGGAGAGCCTGAATGTGTCCTTCAGCCAGGTGAAAGGTCATCTGCCCACAGGTCACCTTCACCCTCATCACTGCGACCTCCTTCACCACCAGTGTCACCACCATACAACGGTCGCAATCGTGGATCAGTGGTGAGCGAGTTGTCCTCAACAGCATCCACCTTGAGTTCACTATCAGCATCAGCTTCAAGAGAGTTTGAGGAATCCGATGCCCAGGATGGAAGAGTGAAAGTACCTTCACCTCAAAGAGTTCCGTTTTCAGCTGCAAGAGCTCGGTTTGAGAGTCGTCCACACTCAAAGTACGACACTACTCGTAGCTGTGACAGCTGTGAGGAGTCGGGGGAGACGATTCCGACACACAACATATCGTCCTGGCGATATTCCGAATTGTATGCCAGGGGAAGGAATGTTGTGATTGAAGAAAAGGAGCCTAGTGGTAACATGGCTTCACCAAGGGAAGCATCTCAGAATGGGGGGTCAAAGAAGACTGTGATTCAGATCAGAGGCAGTACTATTCGTATAGATGATGGGACAGGTTCACGTGATATTAAGACCCACTCGAAACAAAATGGCAATGTGACAGGCACTACACCTGTGAAGCCCAACCAGCCCAAGCTGATAATGACAATGACCCCCTCTCCAGCCGACCATTCTGCTACGTCGTCCGCGACCGCCACAGTTAATGGATCAGCTGCCAATGGGCGGATGACAAATGGTGATGTATCTCCCAGAAACTCTGTAGGTCAGTCTGTTGTGAAACCTCAGTCTTCATCAAGTGTGTCTGAGAACAAGACTGTCGGCGCAAGTAACGGAATTACTAATGGAACTACATCAGCAACCACAACGTCTGTGACTAATGGGACCTCCATGGTTAAACACAGTGCCCCTGCAAGTGGTCGCCCAGTTGGCTTCAGTCCATTAGGAAGCATCATGATGTCAGCCCTGCCCCCGAAAGTGACGCCACATGCATCAGCTGTACCAGCATCACAGAACTCACCCCTTCTCCACCCTACCCCTCCCCACCCCTCCCCACCTCCAGTGGAGGACCGCACGCCGTCGCCAAGCAACGCAAACATAAAGTAAGTCCTCATCTGGGACAACTAAGTAATCATCACCGTGAATGTACTGCCCATCTATATGCTGATCATGAATATGGATGAGGGCCTGCGGATCCAAGATAAGGGCTAGGGGCTGTTGATCATGAATCAGTCTTGTCAGTGATGATTATAAATATGGGTTAGGGTGTCTTCATCATGAATAAGGACTGTATAATCAGTGTTGACTCAGATATGGCTTCTGGATGTTTGGGAAATGGGCAGTCAGCTTTGACCATGAATATTGAGTTTTATTAATGAATGAAATAGACTAATATTTGGTTAAATTTGTAAGTATATGTGTGTTTGTTCTAATATATGAGCAGCCATGGTTTATTACCAATTAAGCCACATGTTGATAGTGACACATTCATCGTTCCAGGCCATCCAGCCTGTCCGGGGGCGCCTTCCAGAACCAGAATGGCTTTGTAAGGCCTGCACCACGCATTGCACCCGGCGACCTCATAGCTGAGCTGCAGGCAGGGCCGGGGAAGTCAGGGCTGAAGACATCCAAGGGTCCTAACCGGGGCGCCACCATGGTGTTCTCCTTCGGCAACGGGAATATGGGAGGAGGTCAACCTCAACCTGCACAGCCCAAGCAGGTGTGTTACAGGCGCCGAGTACCTATAGGTGTTCATGGGTAGAATTGGTAGCATCCGCTTGCCACACCAGGGGTCCTGGTTTTATTCCCCACATGGGCACAATGTGTGACAGTGGGGTAGCCAAGTGGTTAAAGCATCCACATGTCACAATGAATCCCCAGGTTCAATTCCCCACATGGGCACAATGTGTGACAATAGGGTAGCCAAGTGGTTAAAGCATCCACTTGTCACAATGAATCCCCGGGTTCAATTCCCCACATGGGCACAATGTGTGACAGTGGGGTAGCCAAGTGGTTAAAGCATCCACTTGTCACAATGAATCCCCAGGTTCAATTCCCCACATGGGCACAATGTGTGACAATAGGGTAGCCAAGTGGTTAAAGCATCCACTTGTCACAATGAATCCCCAGGTTCAATTCCCCACATGGGCACAATGTGTGACAATAGGGTAGCCAAGTGGTTAAAGCATCCACTTGTCACAATGAATCCCCAGGTTCAATTCCCCACATGGGCACAATGTGTGACAATAGGGTAGCCAAGTGGTTAAAGCATCCACTTGTCACAATGAATCCCCAGGTTCAATTCCCCACATGGGCACAATGTGTGACAGTGGGGTAGCCAAGTGGTTAAAGCATCCACTTGTCACAATGAATCCCCAGGTTCAATTCCCCACATGGGCACAATGTGTGACAATAGGGTAGCCAAGTGGTTAAAGCATCCGCTTGTCACATTCCCCACATAGGTAGAATGTGTGAAGCACATCTCTGGTGTTCCCCTTTGTGATATTGCTGGAATATTGCTAAATGCGATATAAAACCCATCTTGCTTGATCACTCTCTGCTTGGTAGAATAGATCCCCTGAAACTTATGCCAGTTGTAAGAGGTTACTTAATGCAATAGATTGTCAGGCTTGTTTACTTGGTGTCATCATACCCTATGGCTTTTGTCTTTGTTCATATTATCAATCACTGGATTGGTTATTTTTGAAGAGATGTCACTTCCAAATACAAGTAATTCATAAGGCAATGAGTCCTGGAAGGGTTGTCTGGATTAATATGGATCCTACCTTGAAGTTCACATTGGAATCTCAATTTGTTGGAAGTTGCAGTCCAAACTCCAATGGGTTTGAGGTCACCCTTTTTATGATTCTTGTTTTGCCAGTACTGTACTCATGGGTCTCACCAAAATAAAATGTTTCACCGTCATTACCTTGAGCTTTACGAGCCTATTAAGCCAGCAGAATGTGATGATTCTGAAATATGTTGTCTTCAATCCAACCGTGTAAGAACTAACAAACAAATGAAATGCATTAGAAGATGTTCACCTGTGTGTTGTACCTTCCTACAGGCCCCAGTCAGCCGGTTAGAAGGGGAGTTTGACCCCAAGAACTTCCTTGACCAGGTGCCTGAGAAGGATTCCACCGGGCAGCCAATTCCTCAGTGGAAGAAACAGATGCTAGCTAAGGGGATCGCAGAGAAGGCTCAGAAGGAAGCTGAGGAACGGCGGAAGGTGAATACTTCCTGTCTGGCCTCTGTAGTCTGAATTTATAATCAAACTAATACAATGATTTGTATTTAGGTACAAATGACACATCATCATTGTCAAGAAATTTCAACCTGGTACTTGTCGCCCCATTTTGCTCATGTTTCAGTCACATGTTGGAAGTGACAACTTACTGAAGTCTCATGTTTGATGTTTGACAACTTATTATCAGATTGGTCAGAATTTGATGTCATCTATATTATTTAAGTTCTGATTGAAAGACAAACCAGAGCTCAACTTGCTTAATGCTTATGAATCCTTTACCTCTTTTACATCCTATCCATAAATCCTGTACTTTGAATACAAATAAAAATAATCCTCAGAACATTCAACAAAAGTCTCTCCACTGTCAACTATAGACGACTAGTTGTCAAGATAATATTAACACTAATCAAATCAGCATATAGCTCTTTTTGCACATGCATTTATTCATGGATGGTAATTATAAATCCGCAAAGTGAGACAGGCAACTTTGTCAAATTGATACATTTTCACTAAAGTGGAGACTGGTAGAATATTAAAACGAAAACTTCTGTCATGCCATTTGATAATCTGATGTGATGCAACTAATTTGTATCACTTCTTGGATTTGGGGGAGCTTTATCTTCAAACAAGCTTTTGTAAGACTTGCTTGATGAGTGGTTATTGTGTAAAAGTGTCAAGTGTCTTGTTAACATATTGCAATGAACGAGAAGTAATGACACGCTAATTGTAATATTTGAAGATTACTGTAATTAATGATCGACTTGCTGTCTGATTTGTCCAGGAAATGCTCATTGCAAAGAAGTCTTTATAATTTGAGTATACCCGTGACACTAACTTCATGTAGTTTTTTCTGTAATATGTATTTATGGCCACATTTCAGAATTGTAAGCCGTTGCTGGATTTTTTCCAGAAATGTTTTACTTTAACATTGCTACCATTTTGTTAAGGTTGAAGCAGAAGAAGCAAGATTCCGGAATGTGCCGGCCTGGAAGCGAGCTCTCATAGAGAAGAAGGAAACAAGCGGCAAGTGAGTACAACAATAGACAGAACAAAGGGAGATAACTCTGTCAGACCTGACCACTTCTGAAAGTCCGCGATATGGCCCTGAACAGGGTTACAACATTATGACAGCATCAACAGGTCTTTGAACCTAACAGGTTAAATTGTATTTTTAACAATTATTTTATGAATTTGTTGACTACCTGCCTAGTTTTTATAGCTGATCCTATTTGTCTGGACAGACAGAGAGAAATATGATAATGACAACACTATCACTGAGAGCTTGTCCACTGTTCTTTATGTTTATGTCACACGTCATTGTTCATTATACCTATATTGTAGAAACTGAGCAACATGCGGTAAGTTTTTTATGTATGCTTCACGCCCCAGGTTATGACATGCTTATATTTATGAGCTATATAGTAGAGCTTTAACTAACAACAAATGATAAACATTTTGTAACATGTAGCAAACTAATATGTATATTTAAGAATTTATAATTAATACTTTTGTATTTGATGAACGGATATGCTGACTGGTGAATGTGAGTTCGATGAATGAAGCACTCATAAAATCCGACTGTTTGTCTCACAATCCTGACATGGTCAATGCATCTTTTGTAACGAGTCAGTGATTATGTTTTATGCCGTATCATATAGTGCTGTACATTGTCACCAGGGACAGGCAAACAAGTGGCTGATAGCATGAGTATCATAATGAGCGAGGAGTGAAAAAGTATCACACTGAATATATGGTCCCAAAATGATCTCCATAACTTTGATGATATATTTTAATAAACTCTTCCTGAAGGGATTAAATTATAATCTAACAAAACTAGACCTGGCTTACGATAGGTAGATTGTCGTAATTACCCATTAACCTATAATCTGTTAGCGCCTTGAGCATGCACAAGTGTATGGAAACAGGCGCTTTACAAATAGCTGTTATTATTAACCCGCACCAAAACTACTGTTCCCCATGTGATGTTGTACAAGTGTCAGCTGTTTGTTAAGTAATTTGTTTGTTTGAAAAGTGCTGGGGAAAAAATCATTTTCTACATGTACCTGAATAAATATGAAGTAATTCAACAGAATCAATGACTAATTTAAACAGGTGTTGACCAATATATTGTACTGCAGTGACATGTTGCTTCCACACTTATTGTTTCTTCAGTTGATCTTCCAAGCCGTTGGGGTTTAATATATTCCAGATTTCATTTGTGGTGATGGTGTAATGTAGTGGGTAATGCAGTCCATCATCACACCGAAGACCTGGGTTTGATACCCGACATGGGCTCAATGTGTGAAGGCCATTTCTGGTGTCCCCTCACCATGATATTGCTGGAATATTGCTAAAAACATCTTAAAGTCATGCTCAAGTTCTTAGCTACCTATAGTCTGTTTTCAGTAAAAACATACCAATGAATTTTACTTTAACAAAAAAGTAAATCAAATAATGTGAAATTAGATTGCGAATCCTCATAATTTTACCTTGCCAATTAAACATTTAAATCTCAGAATTTTATTCTACTTAAGATAAAAGTTGTTTAACAAACGATCATAGATTCAAATCGCTATTATTGGGTTGTATTACAAGGGGGTAAACGCAGTAGTTGGAACAGTGAAACAAATGCACGTGCGGTGCATGATGAGCGTTAACTTAGACCACCGTAGAAACCAACCCTACTCGTTCTCGGTGCTTCATTTAATGTGCACACCCCCTTGTTATACAAACCAATAATAGCGATTTGAAACTATGATCGTTTGTTAAACAACTTTTATCTTGAGTTGAATAAAATTCTGAGATATAGATGTTCAATTGGCAAAGTAAAATTATGAGGATTCGCAATCTTAATTTCACTTTATTCGATTTACTGGTTTGTTTAAAGTGAAATTCATCGGTACGTTTTAACTACAAACAGTCTATATGTTGGTACAGTGAATTAAATTTATCAGGAAGAAAGAGTTTGTGACTTTGTTCATGGTGGGTGCACGTGTCTTGACAGCATTATTCATATATCAGTCACTGGTTTGTCTAGCCCAGGTGTTAAACAACAAAGGTAAAACTCATGTAAAATTTATTATCTATGTTAAGAGTATATCAGTTTATTTGACAAGAAATATTTTTAAAATATTGTATGCTGTATCCCTGTCTGCATGAGAGCGGGTTATATGGAAGTTTAAAGTGAAGTTCATTGGTACGTTTTCACTGCAAACAGACTATATGCTGGTACAGTGAATTAAATTTATCAGGAAGAAAGAGTTTGTGACTTTGTTCATGGTGGGTCCACGTGTCCTGACAGCATTATTCATATATCGGTCACTGGTTTGTCTAGCCCAGGTGTTAAACAACAAAGGTAAAACTCATGTAAAATTTATTATCTATGTTAAGAGTATATCAGTTGATTTGACAAGAAATATTTAGAAATATTGTATGCTGTATCCCTGTCTGCATGAGAGCGGGTTATATGGAAGTTTATGTGCTGCTGTCGCATTGCCAAGTCAAGTCACTTCTGTTTCTGTCATTTTCTGCTTAAAAGGAACTGTATGTTAACACAATACTCTGCTAATAGCATGCTGGTGAATGGGTTGGTGATCTCAAACGTCTTGTATTGTGCACAACAGACAAACAATACCCGTAGTATTACTACCCTGTAAAATATCAAATCTAGGCAGTGTTCAACAATGTAGTCTTAGCTCTCAGACGACCGATCATACTCACATACTTTCAAATCTTTATAAATTCTTTGTGAACAGGGGCGGTGGGGTAGCCTAGTGGTTAAAGCGTTGGCTCGTCACGCCGAAGACCCGGGTTCGAATCCCCAGATGGGTACAATGTGTGAAGCCCATTTCTGGTGTCTCCCGCCGTGATGTTGCTGGAATATTGCTAAAAGCGGCGTAAAACCAAACTCAGTCACAGTCTTTGTGAACAGGACCTTAATATCTTTTCAGACATTTTATCCGTTTGTTTGCAAAGGTAAAATAATTTGATGATACAAACGTATACAAAATAAAGCATGTGATATATTCAGTACAGATTGACACATATTTACTGTTTGGTGTGACACTGAGATGTTTCTGTGAAAGCGTAGTTCTCGACTGACTTTATGAAAATTTGACGTGTGATATAGGCCTTTTTGGTTTTGGCCCACTGTGAATATACAACTACTATGAAGACATCAAATGCTTCAGATTGAAATGTGTTTGATTCCCAAATATCAGGGGGTGGTGGAGTAGTATGGTGGCTTCACTCATCGTGCTGAAGCTCAGGTTCAATTCCCCACATGCGTACAATGTGTGAAGCCCATTTCTGGTGTTCCCCGCCATGATGTTGCTGGAATATTACTAAAAACAGCGTAAGACTAAACTCACTCCCCCCTAAATAGTGCCGATTGCAGGAATTAAGAGGAACAATCATATCTTGTCTTTTAACTGAGTAGACAGAGACATGAGTTAAAAAAAGATATGAATCATTCTTTCGAGGCTGACAATTTCACTTCTTTAATTATCTAGCATACTATATTTTATTGTAAATTTTCTATATTTCATTTCTTTCTTTTAATAAAGATCCTGGACACAGTTGCTGCCAAAATTTTGTTACGGGGAATGACAACACTATCTCCTCATTTTCTATCATGAACATAACACAAGATGTATCTTGTTTGGTCTAACAACATTTCAGTGTGTATTTATCAAATATGGCTCATGGCAAAGTTACTGTAGCGAAATATGTCCAAAATATGAATCATTATTGATGGAGATATGATACAGTTGATAACCAAGGATCATAATTTGACAGAGTATAGTCAAAGATGCTGTTGCCATGGCAATAGAGGGGTATGAGCGGGCAGAAAAGAATATTTCACTCAATATATAACAAGTTTTATGGATAACAACTTCTTTATTTTCGTGAGTGCGACGTTTCGATACAGATTCTTGTACCGTTGTCAAGCAAGAGTGATACATGAAGTGTAGGAGCTGCATATATAATGTATCACTCTTGCTTGACAACGGTACAAGAATCTGTATCGAAACGTCGCACTCACGAAAATAAAGAAGTTGTTATCCATAAAACTTGTTATATATTGTACGTCTCAACTTCTAAAATGCCACTCAAACAAAATATTTCACTCATTCGAATAACTTTGATGTGCTTTCAGAAAGAATGAGAAACACCCAGCACCTGCAAAACTTGAGACTGTCAATAATACAGCACATGTGGACGAAGATGGTCGACCTTTAACGTCCTGGCAGACACAGCTTCGCAAGAAGAAAGGCATCAATTAGTTTATTGTTATTCAGTTATTTGAATTTTGGCTGATTGTGTAGTTTAAGGTTGGTCAGATTAAACTGACCAGCGAAGAATCCAGATCATTCTAGCATACCATAGCTGGATACTCGACATATCATAGTCCAAGACTAGGATCATAACCTCACACTAGGCTCAAAGGACATAGCCTGACACTTGGATGAACATCCAAGAGCATCTGGAGGTTAAGTTCCTGTATGAAGATTCATATTGAACTGAGATTTTGTTATTGTTTTTTGTTATCACATGTACATATCCCATGTCACCTTCAGCCGCTCCATTGCTCGTGACAGGAAGCTGCTGCAATGCTGAGTCTGTGGAACTTTTGGTTTATACATATACATGTGTTGTCGGCCCCTAATAATTTCTGGGGCCCTGTTAGTGTATATTTACACAGTCATACATAGATGCACACACATTATACAGTGCATTGACAATATTGAATATGCAAGTGAGGTGTGATACGAGATATTGATTGTTTTTTAGGGATTTTTTTTGTTGAAAATGAAGTTGCCAATTTCACAGATGTTAGAAATGCTACAACACTGTTCAATATATGTATGATTTTGTGTAACATTTGTACAGCATTAATGGTATACATTTCAGATCTAATTTCTTCTGATGATTTGTGATTACATGGGTTTAATTTTTTGTGATCTTCAAGAGCAGGCCTTGATACTAAGGCTGTCTGAAGCAAACAAATACCCGGTACATGACATATCTTGTTGAACATGTTGCTGCCAGAATCATGTGACTGAGTGATGGATAGTGAACTTGAATCTTTTGTTATCACACTGACAACAGAAATTTATTGACATGAGGAGGTATTTGAACTTGCAAGGGGATGTGCCAGTCTAATGGCAATGTTAAATGCTGATGTGATAACATCTACAAGATATTAGTCGCACTCAATCATCAAACCTATCCACCCGTGAAGATCCAGGAATTGGTCTTCAGTAACCCATGCTTGTCGTAAGAGGCGACAAACGGGATCGGGTGGTCAGTCTCGCTGACTTTGTTGACACATGTCATCGGTCCCCAATTGCGTAGAACGATGCTCATGCTGTTGATCACTGGATGGTCTGGCCAGACTCGATTATTACAGACTGCTGCCATATAGCTGGAATATTGCTGAGTGTGGCGTAAAATAAAGTCACTCACTCACTGATACCTATCAAATGTTGAATGGTATATTCTACCTCTGCATTCCATCCCTGTTTGATAGGTTGTATTATTGTTTGATCGTTTTTCACCATGACTTTAATATTCGATGCTTGCTTGCCTTGCTATATACGATAAACAGTATGTTTTGTTTACATCAGTCCACCTACTGATGTATTGTGAAGATTCCATCAACATGAACTACATTCCAACATCCACATCAGGTTACATCGACGACTATATGCCCAGATATGCTGATGTTAAATTGAGGCAGTTAAGTAGATGTTGGATAATTGGGTCTTGATTAGTCATTCACACAAATTAGTGATCATTATTACTATGACTGACTGTGTGGCTGTGATGGAAATAATCTTTTGTCACTAAGCCATTACAAAGTGTTTCTCATAACAAGTTAAAATAAACGATTATGGATTATTTATTAGTTGTGACAATGTCTATATGTAGTTTCAATTAGGGATTTCTGTTTTAATATATAAGTAGTTTATATTAAAGCAGGTCCTTAATTGAAACAGAAACTTTTTTTACAAAACTAATTAATTTCACTTTGTCGTTAAAATTGTGCCAATGGGTAGCCTAGTGGTTAGAGCGTTCACTCATCACACTGAAGACCTGGGTTTGATTCTTGCATTTCTGGTTTCATCCAACTTGATATTAGTGGAATATTGCTAAAAGCGGCGTAAACACCATACTCTCCCACTCCAAGTAATCCTTCTCATCGTTAATGTTTGTATCTCAGTATATAAATTAGTTGTTTTTTGTTTGTTTTTTATTGGTAGTATATAAATTAGTATGAGTTCATCTGATGGAAGTTTTGCTTGTGTTTTTTATGCTTGTCTGTTAAGTGGTTCTCTTGAGTATATTTTGATGGGCAGAGTCAACCATGGGTTCAGTGCTTGCTTGATGCTCAAAGACACAGGTTCAATTATCGTCTTGGTACAATGTTTGAAGCACTTTCTTAGTGTTTCTAGTTTGGATGTTGGTCAAACTCTTCTCTGTTAGATTTCCTTGCTTCACTTTTCTGTACATTGAGTGAGTTAAAGTTTAATCCCTCATGGGCAATATTTCAGCCATATAGTGGGGCTCTTGAGTTGTAACGCCACAAATAGTTCCAACCTTGCTGTTGCGTCTTTAAGTAGTATTAACTCACTCACTCACTCTAGAGTTGTATATAGATATCAAGGCAGTGTTATGTTGTATATATAGATATCAAGGCAGTGTTATGTTGTATATAGATATCAAGGCAGTGTTATGTTGCTTGATAGACAAGTTTAACCTGCTGCGATGTTGAAAATGCAATTGACTGCTTTGCAATAAATGTGCACAGTAATTTTGTAATCCCATAATACAGATTGGTTTGAAGTGACAGATCAGCGTGATACTGATGAAAGGATGGGTTTGTCAGTAAACCCTGTCAAAACAAAGTTGTGATTTTAATGGAGCGTTTGTGCAATATTTGCCAAGTGTTAGTGGGACATAAAACTAAACACGACTGTGTTGTCTTGAACAGTAAATCCACTAATTCTGTTATACCCAACCCAGAACTTTCAGTCTTGGAGTTTATGTTCTATTGATAAATGTGATGGAGTTACCTCCCTTCTTCAAGACCAGGAAACTGTTGATGGCCAAGTTTTAACAATGCATTGTTGCTCCTGTTTTTACACATGTACACAGAAATGTAAATATTCCAGTTATAGAGAATAACTGAATCTTTTTCACTTACCATAAACAATTTTGCATTCATTAAACAAACAGATAAATATTGCATTTAGGATGGGGATATTTAAGTGAGCCATCGAGCTGCCATTTTACAATATGGCTTTGTGTAACAGAAACTTGTTACAGTGAATATTTTTTTGGTGGCTTTAATCAAGTTGATGTACTGCTGGTCCCGAAAGGAGTATTTACCTGTTACTTTAGATCTTCCACATTTTCGTATAAATTGATGGCTATGTTTAATTACATAAAATTCAGTTGCCTAATGGTGTCGTGTGAATTTTTGGCATTAGGCATTGAATGAATTCTTACACCATTTTAGCATATCTAGTCAGTTAATGTTGTTACATTCACCTATGTATTCCCAGAACCCAGTGGTCACAGATCCAAGGTCTATGCATGCAAAGTCGCAATGATGTCACTGTTTATTATTCGTCACAATTTACATTTTGATATCAATTTCTTCCTTCAGTTTCAGATCCTGCCATAAGGTATCATGTCACTTGTAATGGCAGTGTTTGATTGGGTTTTTAACCATTTAAGACAATACAGTATTTGTGATATTCTTTTCTTTGAAGAGTCGCCAAAATAGCTTTGATGTCATAATCAAGTAACTCTGTCAAGACAATGTTTACATAGAGTTTTCTTTTAGTATTGTTTTGTCATGGTGGCATGGTACGGTGTGGTCCAGCAACAAAAGTAACTTTAACTTTCTGTACATCAGTCGTCATGACAACAGTGTACATGATGTGAAATGATGTAAATACATTTTGTACAGTCAGACCTGGCTGTGGATGTTTCATGTCAACATTTAACCAGAAAACACATCTAACACAACAGTAGTTTCTTTAGAAACTCTCCAAGTCTTCAGGGGGCAGTGGGGTAGCCTAGTGGTTAAAGCATTCGCTCGTCACACCGAAGACACAGGTTCGATTCCCCACATGGGTTCAATGTGTGAAGCCCATTTCTGGTGTCCCCTGCCATGATATTGCTGGAATATTGCTAAAAGCGGCATAAAACCAAACTCCGTCGCACAGACTCCTGGTAGTCTTCAGATTTGCCATCTGCAGTAGAATATTGGCAGGGAATCTAAGAGGGACCGACCATTTGATATTTTTGCCATAAGACATACAGTTTCTTACTTTGGAAGGAATACAAGGTCAGGGATTGTTTATTGACAAGTTAAGTGCTGCTCCTGATGTTGTACACACATGATGCTGTGGTTGGTAGCGTTGAGTTCGTCCTTACCTGTACAGAATGCAAAACATAATCAGCCACACCTGTCCAGCATCTGGGATTGGTTTTATTAGGCTCTTAAAAAGTGTAAAGTGAAAAAAACCAGTTATCTGGAAGGACTTTCTTTATTCCCAAAATACAAACTTGAATATTTGTGGAAGGAAACGTATTTACAAGACGTTAAACTGTGAAATGAACATGCACATAGAAGTAAATAACAAGTTTCAAGGAACAGTAAAAATCTTAATTGTCATTTTGTGGAATTATTTTCCTTCCTTCAGATATTTCTAGCTTAAACATTAATAAAAGTCTAGACAAGTTAGGTTAGTGAATCCTGGTGTGACACACAAGGGGATGTTGCATAATCATGATGTATACTATAGCAGTAAAATTAATGGAACTATAGTCAAACACCATTGTGTCAAACTTTGTGTCAAACTTACAGTTTTGTTGAAGTAAAAGTTTACCATCATATTCTTTCTTTTATCATATATTCTTTGTCTGTGGACAACTCATAGTGTTTACATGATCGCTTTAACTTTGACACAGTGATGTTTGACTGTACTATTGTACAGTATCTTAGTATCATTTAGCTCATTCAGACAAATATATACCCTGAACCATAACGAAGGGACAAGCTCTGCCAGGAACAGGGACACAGTACGAGGTCCCCCTAGAAGCTGACCTATGAGGATGGTTGAGGGTCACTGGGCCAATAGTTTGGATGTAAGCTCATACTGTCAACCACCGGTCTACCTAGGAAAGTCTTATTGTTACAAGATGTTGTGATTGCCAGGAAAAGTGCTGACTGCGGCATAAATAGGTATTGATTCTCTGAGATACAATGTAAACTCGTTCTAGAACAGGTGATGTGATATAGGATTGTGTAATAGGCAATGTTTACATGTATGGAGACACAGAGCACTGACTATGTAAAATAGGTGTCTTATGTGACAAACTGCTGCCTGTGTAGATCCATGACTGCTTACAGATATAAATATATATAAATATGCATATTGCTGATGTCTTCACTGCTTGTATGTAATAAATGATTTCAGACATTGAATGTCTTGTTTGCTGGTTGATTTGGAGTGATCGTCTCATGTATATAATAATTAGTGTGGGTGGTGTGGTAGCTTAATTGTTAGAGCATAAGGCCTTGGTTCAGTTACCTACTTGGGTACAATGCTGAACTCAATTTTTGGTGTCGTGAGCTGATATTGCTGAAATATTGCTAAAACCTGTGTAAAACTGAACTCACTCACTCAAATAATTTAGTGTGTAGCCTGTTGCATGAACCCTTCATTCATCAGTCTGAACGCCTAACTTT